AGGTCGGTGCAGTACTTTAGGGGGTCTGGTATGCATAAATTCAATACTATTCCGATTACCACAATCAGATGTTATAGAAATAGGTTACCACTAAATAGACCGAGCTCTATAATACGGACGGAGCTCTAAAATTATTTAATCTTGCGTTTTGCCCATTGCATGCAGATGATGCTTTTTTATTTCCAGATACTTGTTCATTTTCGGGGTAGCCAACTTGAGCGAATCAGTCTTGGATAAAATGAAATCATTCAAAGACTACTGATGTAGAGCATTGACTGAAACTCGTGATCCTGAACAATTAGGCTTTGCCTCGTACATCTCTAATATCCATTTGTGTATTGTCGAATGGTAAAAAAATGTCTNTTCAAAGACTACTGATGTAGAGCATTGACTGAAACTCGTGATCCTGGACAATTAGGCTTTGCCTCGTACCCGTATAATTCTTCAGTACATCTCTAATATCCATTTGTGTATTGTCGAATGGTAAAAAAATGTCTTTTCCGTTCTTAATAATAAGCCACATCCAGGCTTTAGAACCTCAAGTAAACCGTCTTCTAAATGTTAAAAGAAGAGCACAAAACATTCACATATATACCGCTTGACGATAACTGATGACGTACGCGTACAACTTAAGCGACACCCGGTGAACACGTCTGTAGTCACGAAGTGAGCTTGCATTGTCTTGTATTATATATTTTGCCTATTAAAACAAGCTGTAAAATGATACCATATGAAATCAGATGGAAAAGTAGGACAATGCAATACCAAATGACGTGAAATAAAACGATTTTTTGGAATACTGAGCTTTCTAGTGATATATTTAAATATTCTTTTTCCGAGTTCCAAAAATGATGATTCCACTAACTTTTTCCGTCTACTGTTCATTTCCGGAAATGATTAATCGAAAAAGCGTGATCAAAATGAAGAAATTAAACGAGAATAGATGGACATCTCACTTTTATGATTATTAGTGTAATTTGAGAACAACTCATGATATTTTGTTTAACTGATTCAAATACTGTATTCTGATTGGTCGAAATCAAGCTTTGTTTTTGCCGTCTTTGGACTTTAAGTGCTGTCCAAACTAGTGGCAACGGTCTCGTTGCGGTCATTTCCCGTATCTCGCATAAACAATGAGCGGTCGTGGTAAAGGAGGCAAAGGACTCGGAAAGGGTGGAGCGAAACGCCATCGGAAGGTTTTGCGTGATAACATTCAAGGCATCACCAAACCGGCCATCCGTCGTCTCGCCCGTCGTGGTGGTGTGAAACGTATCTCCGGCCTGATCTACGAGGAAACTCGTGGTGTTTTGAAGGTGTTCTTGGAGAACGTCATTCGTGATGCCGTTACCTACACCGAGCACGCGAAGCGGAAGACTGTTACTGCCATGGATGTCGTCTATGCCCTGAAACGCCAGGGCCGCACCTTGTACGGTTTTGGTGGTTAATTTACGGTCACCATCTAGGCCCGCACGAGAACGAAAAACGGTCCTGTTTAGGACCACCACCAAATTGTGATTGTTACCGCTCGCATTCCCGCCTGTTTTACTTTGTTAGCCATCTGTTTCCACGTTTGGGTCACTGCCTGTTGGTGCTGATGCACACATGTCAACGCACGCGAAGCGGGTAGCTTTTGCTTTTGATTGCTATAGACGTTTTTTGTGTGGATCCGTCAACAAACGAGGTCTGATTCTGAATTCTCAGTTCCGGCTAGGGTTGATTGGTGTTCGCATGGTGAGACTTAGTTCAATGTTGTCAGATTTTTCCCACTGAAACAGCGTTGGATGTTGCAACTTAGTTTTCATCTGGCAGGTTTTTTGGCTGCCATTTGCTTGTTTGCCGTATTATCGTCTCTGGATAACTAGATTCCCTCTGAACTGGGCCAGTTTATCGTGAAGGTTATTACTTGGGCGTGTCCCACGGACGCATGGGCGAGTCAGCGATACGGATGTAGCCGCAGTCGTTTCTCGAGGGTGTTCCACTAAATTGCTCTTGTCAGTCGGTCATCCAGCCAACGCATATACGCCACTGGAATGGAGAATTAAGTCTGCACCCGTATCGAAATTGGTTAAGATGCACCAATGTTTCTTCATATTAATTTGTGTGACATGGATGCTGGTAGAAGACGGAGATTCCAACTCAAACGCTTTGCAAGTGAGGTGCCCGTCTCGTTTAGTCCGTGAATCATTCGAATTGGTGTGATAATCGCAATCGTAATAGTAATTCGGAATAACGTAATTCTCGCGTAAATACTCCGATCAGAACTAAGGCGCGAGCGAAAGAAGAACTCGTGAGGGCAACAGAAGTAAGGAATTATATTCGCGCACTTGTAAGGTACATTGTGTCTTACGTATATTAAAACAAGTACAAGTACAAAGTCTTTATGTGCAATCACCACAATTGGTACTTGTTGTTCTCCTCAAGTAATAAACTGAAGTAGATTGACGACTTAAGTTGCATTATTTCCATCCATTTTATCAACACAAAGCCGACGAATGGTGCAAAACATTTGATGACGAGAAAATAGTAGATCCCAATTTGCCTTTCAAACTAATATTACATAATCGCAATGGGAAATTTTTGATTATTAGTGAAGCGCTGCTTATTCAGTTTCATCACCCAACATTAGGCGCACAAGTCTTTACGATCAATCTGCTTACCGTGGAGTTAACTTTATTCGATATCCAGTAGTCTCAGTATGCTTGTACATGTGCTTTCGCCCTAATTGTACAACCCCATACCTGCTTATTTCAAGTCAGCGACTGGGAACCGAATATGGACCTCTCGTGACTTTTGTCTTCCTTCTGTATTGAGCTTTTCGGCTGTTAGTTAAACTGTAGACTGCAGTTTTAAATGTTCCGTACCTTTTCTAGGTGTGACGATGCCTATTGCCCTACTCCAGCTTCGTAGTGAGCGCTTGATTCTCTCCGCATAATGTGCTGAGGCGATAACCCATCAACCCCCAGGTTGTACTCCGTGGGAGTTAATTCGATCTTCCGAGTATCGAAAATGCTACAACTTTTATGCGATCAAACAAAGTTTATCTACGATGTAATTCAAAATGGGAAAGCTGACAAAGAAATTGCCGATACATATCATCCCGTCCGTCTGGAGTTCCCAAACCCGTTGACTCTAACGAGCCCCACCTAATATGATATATATATATATATGCCCAGAATACGCAAACCTGGTGTACCAATGCGTCCCACTATCTCTATGGAAAATTTACTACACCACGCAAAGTATACACTTAGAGACACTGTTAAGTTTGTTGAAGTAACCGAAAATGTGAACATTAACAACCGACTGATGTTCTCGTTGGATGTTGCTTCTCTCCTTACAAATGTTCCCCTGTTAGAAACTGTTGATTTCATTTGTGAATCTATCAACACAGAAATGATATTTGTGGGCATCCCAATCACAACTCTCAAAGAACTCATACTCAAATGCACGCGAAATGCACAATTTTTGTTAATAACACATTGTACCGCCAAATCGATGGTGTTGCCATAGGTTTACTCCTCAGCCCTGTTCTCACCGACATCTTAATGGCCAAGTTAGTGACCACTTCCTTGACTACGGCTATTAGTTGTTCAGAACAATATCACCGTTATGTAGATGATATCATTTGCGTGGCTAACATGTACTCTAGTCTTACCCATGTCGAGTCAGAATTCAACGCAGCTGGTCACATTGGTCACTGAATTTCACAACAGAATGTTCATCTGATTAGACGCCCCGACGGCTCTATCCAAAGAAAGATATATGGAAAAACAACATTGAGCGGACAGTACACAATTTTTCTTATTCACCCCACCCGTACGCTGTCTCCGGCCGAGAGCAAGGCGCATCTGTCCAGTAGATACTTTAAAGGAAGAACTCGAACTAATGAAGAGAACCTTATTGGAAAATGGCTATCCCGAGAAGTTTATCGACCAAAATTGGACTGAACAGAATAAGTTAACCAAGATACCCCAGACGGAGAAGAATGTTATTTTATCCAACTTCCATTCAAAGTCCTATTTCGCCGCTGAGAGGGTCAGTGGAGTTTTATCATTAGCAGTGAAATTTACATTGAATATCGCTCAGCTAAGGTGCTTGTTCTCTTCGTCAACCAACATCCGATGCTATAACACAGATAAGCTACCTTTGTTGACCTCATCTATGATTGTTTCTCTATATAGGTTGAACGACAAGTTATCCGAAAGGATCAAGGAACACAATCCACGCTGGTTTACATAGGATGCGAGTGGAGCTGTGTCAAGCTCAATCGTTGCTTATCTGGTTGACATGCGCTCGGTATTTAAAATCATTTATCGAGTCTCACCACACCCCTCGAGTGCAATACGGTTTCAGAAGTTAGCAACCGCAGAAGCCTGAGCTGTACGCACAACTAATATCGACCCAAGCTCTCAAACTCCTATGACCAAGGGAAAAGAAAATCCCTTGTTCACTTGACCATGACGTAACGAAGTTTGGTTACGAAATCCAAACAGCGTACAAATTTGGAGTTATCTCGGGCTTATCACCAAACACGACTCATTTACCTTTCTGTTTGACCCTATGGAAATTGTTTCGTATAAATGTGATTGTAAAGGCTTAAAAAGGAATTCATCGGAAACCTCAGTTGGCCTACATTGTGTGTTCTTAATCAACAGACATTCCGAGTATTGATTGTTAAGTTCACCTTTCGGATGCAAACGCTAAACTGAACAAACGGTGCTTTGAGTCACTGTTCGTCCCGTCTCACGACCATTAGGTCTGAGATGACCTTTGACCCATTCTGATCGATCAAGTTAGTTTGGGTTGACTCACTCAGACTGCGGACAAATTGGATGACCTGGGAATTTGGTTAGTGAACTGACGAGTGAAAATGCCCTGATTTGTGTCATCGGAAGGTGGTGGGCAAATATGAATGAAAGGATTTTTAGCACTATTTAGCGGAATGGACGAAAATTCCAGATTATAGTACATGTCCCATTAGATGTGATCTATTAATTTCCTTGAAACTCTGGCACCCGTATGGTCTGAAACATCCATCGTACCAAGACCAAGAGAAGACATATGTCGCGAGATGTTAAAAATTTCGTTTAATCTTCTCAATCGCTGACGTAAAACAAATAAGCACACTTATAGCACATTGGATTTGCAAATCCTAGTGAACGGGCTATTAGAATTACAAACAACAAGTCAACTTCACGGCAAGTGAACTGATTGGGTCAACAACTTTTGGGCGCACAAAACGGGATGA